CTCAGGCTGTAGATGAAGGGGTTCAGCATGGGGGTCACCACTGTGAACATCACAGCAGCTGCTATCTGTCTCAGCCAAGTGCGAGGATAAAGGGTTGAAATGCACAGCAACGATGGTGCCACAGAAGAGAGAAACCACGGCCAGGTGGGAGCCACAGGTGGAGGCGGCTTTCCATTTTCCCTTTGTGGATGGGACTCTCGGGACGGCACAGGTAATACGGACATATGAAGCCAGGATGCAAATAAATGGAGTGATCATGGTCAGAGAACCCTCAGAATCATCACCTCATTGAGGTGCGTGTTGGAGCAGGAGAGTTTCAGGAGGGGCGTCACATCACAGAAGAAGTGGGGGATGGCACTGTCTGCACAGAACGAGAGTCGAGCCATCAGCAGGGTATGCAAAAGAGCATTCAGGCTGGCAATGACCCATGACCCAGCAACCAGCAGGGCACAGAGCTGGTGGGTCATCTTTGTTGAGGAGTGTAAGGGGTGGCATATGGCAACAGAGCGGTCACAGGCCATCACAGCCAGGAGGAAATTGTCCATGTCGGCAAGCTCAAAGAGAAAATACATCTGTGTGAGACACCCAGAAAAGGAGATGGTCTGAGTCCCGAGTATATAGTTGGCCAGCATCTTGGGGACAGTGGTGGAGGAGAAGCAGATGTCCACAAAGGACAGGTTGCTGAGGAAGAAGTACATGGGGATGTGCAGGCGGGAGTCCATGCCAATGGCCAGGAGGATGAGCAGGTTTCCCAGGACCGTGGTCAGGTACATGCTCAGGAAGAGTACAAAGAAGGGCTGCTGCTGCTGGGGCCGCCTGGAGAGCCCAAGGAGGAGGAACTCAGAGACACGGGACTGGTTTGTCCCTCTCATGGGCTGGATGCAGATGCAGCGAACAGAAGCAGAGCTTAGAAATCTAGAAGCTATGGCTCTGGATACAACAATCCAAGCTCCACCCACACGGTCATGTTAATGAAACCTGTATTAGAATTGCTCAGTCAGGATCCACCCCTAGTCTCTACATCCTAAACTTCCAACTCCCAGTCCTAGATGACGGTGGTCCCACTGCACTAATCTTTAAAATCTTGTCAAATATAAAAACAAACAGACACAGGGGGCGCCTGGGTGGCGCAGTCGGTTGGGCGGCTGCCTTCAGCTCAGGTCATCATCCCAGGGTCCTGGGATCGAGCCCCCCATCCGGCTCCCTGCTCAGTGGGGAGCCTGCTTCTCCCTCTCCCCCTGCCTGCCACTCTGCCTACTTGTGCTCTCTATCTCTCTGTCAAAGAAATAAATAAAATCTTTAAAAAAAAAAAACAGACAGACACAAACAAAGCCCTTCTCTGCCATGTATGTCTCTATGTATGTATGTCTCTTTTAACATTCCCAGGCTTTCTCCCACTTCTTAGTAGCTTACAGAGACAAGTAAAACAGTTGATTATTATCAGTGTATCTCAAGCTCCAGGTGATGGATTCAGGACTCTATCATTCCCTGGATCTGGAAGATTTAACAAAGGAGGTTCTTCAAAGAATTTCCCTCATTAGTAACTATACATATAAATAACTTCACTCATTAGTAAAAAATATATATATGTATGTGTATATCTATATCTATATCTATATATATATATATATCCTGTTATAATCTTACCTAGAAGAAGTTGGTACTGTGGATAGCAAGGTTTCTTCACCTCTGAGGAACCAACCAATGTTATTCTTTATTATAAGGTTTGGAAAGTACTGGAAATATTGGTAGATCCTGAGTGAGTGAAAAGCAGAATTCACTGTCTAAGCCCTCTGCACAGAGAAGGATGTTTGGGGGAATTAGAAACAGGTATTTACAGTGGCTTCCATGGCCACTGGGACCAGATCCCCTGAAAGCCTCATCCGAGACAAGCAGAAAATAATTGTCCCATCTATTTCCTGGTCCCTGTGGACCCAACAATGATGACAAAGTATAAGGATCTAACCCCTGGGTCAGAACTTGGGAGATAACTATTCAGGGTTTCCTGTTATGGAGGAAGAAGTTGACTTTTTTTCTCAACCAAAATTATGAGGTAGGAAATTACCCAAGCTTTAGAAGGGTTACAGAAGTTGGGAAGCCAGAAAAGCATGATAAATGCCCACCAGAATCCACCCCTCTGGTTGCACACATTAACACATATCCCTCTTACCAATTTATGCTTCAGTAGGAGAGACATTATCTGGCCTAACATAACACAACTATATTTCTCACAATATGGGAACAACTAAAGCCCATCAGTTACTGCATCCAGGTCTATAATCAGGATCTTGGCTACTCCAATCATGTTCCCATCATGACATTCTATTACTTCTAAATCAAACTTGAAAGCTAACCAATAACTACATATCCTATGTGTATGTAAAACAGAGGGACAAAGGCAAAGAAAAGAAGAAAGCTAGCTGGCAACAATAGAGAGATACATAACGAAGGAAGGAGGAAAATATGACTGGGTAGTCTTCATTTCCACAGGTAGCCATGAATCCTTAGTTGATATTAATAATTTTCCTTATCTGCAATCTAATTCATGTTCCCTTTGTCTTTAGCCAGCATCTCAGCTGTTCAAGTTTTTAAAAATCGATATAGTAACCCGAACTTTCATGTTGGAGAGATTTGACCTCCTTACAATCCTGCCCAAATAAAATGATCTAGTCTTTCATTAGCTGCCATCAGAGGACATGGCCATTCCAGAATCCACTCCAGGAAATCTTTCCATCCATAATCCTCTCTGCTACCAGTGTGTAACAGCAAAACTATTTTTTTGTCATAGTCAAAGTCATAACAATATTAGACTCTCTTTTTTGGTCAGTTCATCCAGCAGCAAATTGAGCCCAAATTGACCAGCAAGAAGTCTCTTCAGAGCCCAGTGTTCCTGGGATAAGAAGTAAAATTGTACAAGTAGATCATTAGGTATTACAAAAAGTAGTGCCCACTTTTACCTCTTGTTTCCTTGCCCCATAAATTCCTGGTTGGTAGAAAGTTCAGCAGATATTGTCCACTGGTATTAAACTTACATTGTATCCTATAAAACAGCACCCTAACCTCACAATGTAACCTCAACTGGTACCCAAACTGAGTCTTTAAAAGACCATTTCTCTATTCCATAAGGTCAAGTGCTCCAGGTGTTGGTGTACAAGTAAATTCCAGCGAATCACATGGATACCAGCCTTATCCCTTGTATTAATTATCTATTGTTGAGTAACAACTTATCCCCAAACTTAGCAACTTAAAACAGTAAACATTTATCTCACACAAATCCTGTGGGTCAGGGACCTGGTAATGGTTTAGATGAATGGTTCTAGATCAGGACTTGTCATGAGACTGCAGTTAAGTTGTCACCAGGGACCCAGTCATCTGAATGCTTGACTGTGGCTGAAGGAAGGACTTCCAAGATGGTGCCCTCACATTACCTGTGGCAAGAAAGTCTCAGTTCCTCACATCAACTTCTCCATAGAGCTAACTTGATATGTCCTTGCAACAGAGTAATTGGTTTCCCAGAGCAACTGATTCAAGAGAGCAAGATGGAAACCACACTATCTTTTGTGATGGAGCTCCTACAGTCACACACCATCATTTCCGCAAGATTCTCTGTTTACACAGTGCAAGGGACAGAATGGTTATGTCCCCACAACATTCAGATGTTGAAATCCTAACCTCCAAGGTGATGGTATTAGGAGGCAGTGCCTTTATGAGGTGATCTGGTCATGAGGGCAGAACCCTCACTAATGGTATTAGTGCCCTTATAACAGAAGGCCTGAGAAAGCTCCCTTGTCCCTTCCACTAAGCGGGGTTACACTGAAAGATTGCCATCTATGAACCAGGAAATAGGCTCTCACCAGACAACAAATGTGCCAGTATCTTGATCCTAGATTTCCCAGCCTCCAGAACTGTAAAAAAATACATTTCTGTTGTTTATAACTAGCCAGTCTATGGTATTTTGTTATAGCAGCCTGAATGGATTAAGACACAGTCAGCCCAAATCAATGTGGGAAGGGATTACACAATATCAGGATCACTGGGGGCCATTTTGGCAACTGGTTATCACATTCTTTTTTATTAAGCATTTATTTATTTACTTGAGAAAGAGAGAGCAGGGGGAGGTGCAGAGGGAGACAGAGAGAATCCAAGCACTATCCACTGAGCACGGAGCCCAATCCAGGGCTCAATCCTAGGATCCTTAGATCATTCCCAGAGATGAATCAAGTCAGATGCTTAACCGACTGAGCCATCCAGGCGCCCCTCACATTTCTTTTATTATAAAGTGAGTTCCTTACCTTGAAACGATATTTGTGGGATGCAGATGGGATAGATCCATTCAACCCTAATACACAGCCTATCAGTCTTTAAGCCTCAGGTTGATTAGTGCCTTTTCGTGTATATTAGTTTCCTTTTCCTGAGAGTTTCTGTACATTCCCAGATACCTATGCTCACAAAGGTTTTCTACCTGTATCACACCACTTTCATTGTACCATCTTAAGTGACAAGTGAAACATGGAAAGTCATAAAGATCCTAAGTCTGAGGACCAAGGCTCACACCTTAACCTCTCCTTTACGTTTGCAGTATAGGCCACTATCTCCAGAACCAAATGCATACATCAACATTGCCTCCTACATCGAGAATCTTGGAAGCTTAAAGCAGCAATTCTCAAACATTAACGTGCACAGAAATCACCTAGGCACGTTGTTAAAGCAATGAATCTGAATCAGGAAGTCTGGGATAGAGCCTAAGATTATGCATTTCTAATAATCACCCAGGGCCTCGGAGTACAGAGGCCCCCTTACCCTGAGAAGGGCCCAAGCCACCTACACCCGCTTTTGCGCCGCTGGCTCTTCAGCCAACCTCGCCTTTGGAAAGGATATCCAAATTGGAAGTCAGACCTTGACTTCAGACAGTCCCAGCCTGTGGAAATAGAAGATAGGATTCCTGACCACCTGTGACCCATCGTAAGCAGGAAGGGAAGACGATGGGGCAGAGCCCTAAAGGACCGGAGCAGGTGCAGCGGAAGGCTCATGGGACCCGCCAGTTGCCCAGGTTTTGTGGGCACCAACCCCAGAGTGCCCCTTTACGCCATTTCGGGGGAAAAGAGTCAGAGCCACTTACGGCAGCGTAGACCCCCATTCCATGCAGGAGTCACCAGTCCGCCGCCCTTCGGAGAAAGACTAAGCCGCACCTCCTCGCAGAGACCTTGCAGAGCGGAGACTCCGCTCCTTCTATCTAATTGCGGGGCGGGGGCGACGCAGCCTCTGATTGGTTCCGTTTGAGGGCGGGTACAGCGCTTCCGGGAAGTGATTCCAACTGATCCGCCTCTCCCGCGCCGCGCCTGCGTGTGGCCGACGGTTTTAGGGCGGTCCTCAGGCTCGCGGGCGACTCCAGACACCCAGTGGGCGGGGTGGACGTGCGAAATGTGCGAAAAGTGCGAAATTAAGGGGCTCAAAAGGCTTAGTAATCAAAGTAAGTAATATTTCAGTGCAGTGTTTTTTTTTAAAAACAAAGTTAATGCAAAAAATCCTTTAACAAAATATAAGAATTTTAAAGACAAGATAAGCTGAAAGTTAATATTATTTAACACCTTTGCTTAGTCAAGAGAAATTGTGAAATACGGCAGTTCTCTCAGGTGAAACAGGCAAAGAAGATTCTGAAGACATTACTGATGAGTTTACTAATACTAAGCTAGTGTCAAAGATAAACACAGCCAGACATTAGTTAAAGCAGTGAAAACTGATTTTATTCAGTAACTACTGACGGTAGGGGAAGGAGCTGAGCTCCATTCCATTTTCTGCAGAGGTGATTGGGCATTTTAAAGGGAGAATGAGGAAGTAGGGAGAGGAAATAGAAGCTTCCGCAGTCAGGGAA